GGTGTGTTTGTTGACATCTCTAGCGAACGCGTTCGCCCGCTCACCGCTCCCCGCTCCCCGCTCGCCACCGTCTCTCATCGATCGATGCGTGACTCCACCTCTCGCTATCGATTTTTCAGAGATGTCAACAAACACACCATTTTGCATGCTGCCGAGTCCGGCCTTATTGGCTCAGACGTTTTTCTGAATTCGGCCGATAATAATTACGATTTTGTAAAATTTTATATAACTTTTCTTCTCAGTTTAACCCAATCTACTATAATCTTTGGGATTGTCCATATCGAATCTGACACCCTGTATACATATATGTATATGCATTTCATAATTATACATTTTTAAGTACCTATTTGAGTATCAAAAAAATAATAATTTGTTCAAGATTGTTTTAACGTTGCAGCAATATAAAGAATTAATGTACAAACATTATCCTAGATTCAACGTAGAAAAGAGATTTATACTTCAACATTCAACATTGCAACGTTTCAGCAACATTATTTTAACTTTCTGCGCTGTATGAGCTAACTTCGCTGACTAATTTTGACTGTTATAATCACCGAATTGATCCCATGATTACATATCGTTGGAATCGTCTCGACGAGGAGAATCAATTTCCTACTCCATTTTCCCTCAATTTTCAATGTAGAGGAGAGTCATATTTCGTCATGAGGGCAGTCTCCTATTATGAGATAGGCCCCTAATATGAGACAGCGGAGTTTCTGCTAAATTAATAGGCATCGTTTATTGGTTCCACCATAAATTTATTGCCCCTGGAGTGAAATCTGTTTAATGGTAAATTGATTATTAGATTGTGCAATTAGAATCCCTTATCTTACAATAGAGGACTTTCCTCTACTCCTTTCGAAAAACCGTGAAACACGTGTTTGATTATTTTGAGGACCTACTACTCTTTTAAGAAAGTTCGAAGAATGGCTTTTCCAACAATGGGCTCGAAGAGAAACCCAACTTAAAAATTTTATAAGATTTCCTTAAAATCGAAAGAGTTGAGGGTATTGTATCGTATGTTAAATATAGCATTGCAAATTAGATTTTATTCATCAACTTAAATACGTGAATTTGTTGATGACAATGATTCCATCTAAACGAAACTGTTATATGTCCGAAAAGAAATCGGCGCGCAGTACGGGTGGAAAAATGGTATGAGAATTTACGTATTTAAATTATTTGGCTGTTCACACATCTTGCTTGGACCTAACGGGCTTTTCGTTTCTTGTTAAAAAAGTCCACCCCCATATTGTAGTACACCGTTTAAAAGGACATGAAAAAGATATTTTTTGGCGCAAGGTTGGCGGAGGTTGATACGTTTTTCATTCGGAAGTTATTTAGGATCCAAGTTCAAAAAGGGCTAATCCTCAAAAAGTCGTTACTCCTATTTGGAAAATCCTAGAAAAATATTTGAGGTGTAAAATGTTTCGCCTTTGCAATTTCTTTTGGTAAGCAATTTCAGATTTGCTTTTAGGGTTTTCTTTCAAATATTATCGAAAATGATCACTTGCGGACGTATACAATAAATAACTTGGAATAAAGTGGATCTCTTGTTTATTTTATGAAAATCATGAAAATTATCTAATTTTAATTACAATTTAATTAATTACAAAAAGTAGTTAATTAATTTTTGGTAGGTATTTCGACTGTAAGAAGTAGTTAACTTAAAGGTATAGAATTTCTTGTAATTGGTCAATTCTTTACAAGGTAAGGAAAACTGCCCTCATCGCAAGTCCAGTCCAAAGTTGCGTAGAAGCAAAGGAAGTCTTATCTCTTCGAGTTAACTTTGTGTTGCAGTAGATACCTACCAAAACGCTAAGAGCCTCTCTCACCATCCTCAGTTAGATTAACCGATGATAAAATTTACAGGGCCAACAGATTCTCTAATGGGCACGATCATCCTCTATCTCTATCTTCTGTTGGCACCTGCAAATTTTAACCGTCGGTTAATTTAACCGAGATTAGCGAAAGAGGCTCTAAAAACCCCCAAGAAACACACTAAAGTCAATAAAAAAATCACAATGACTTCATTTGGACTCAAAATGGTCACACGATTTCCAAGTGATAAAAAATTGACCCCAACACAACGACATATGCTGTTCAGTGACGAAAAGACGACTTTGCGTTGATAATACAAATTAGTCAGCTTTTTTTTTATTATTGGTTTTTGTATACTTGGATCAGTAAATAAGTTTCTCATATTTTTCAGTTGTGATACAAAAGTTTATGTACTATTAAGTTGTTTCACTTTTGCATTTATTAAAACTATATTTTTGCGCTTTCTGTTAGACGTAAATAAGTTTCTTTTCGCATATAAAAATGTAATTTTAGTTTAAATGTTACAATTTGTGCTCTAATCTATCAAACAAACGGAAAATATTAATGTTTAGTAGTTGTACTCTAAACACTGCAAAAAGTGCAATTTTGTAATTAACAAAACAGAAAATTTTATATTCTACTTTTCTCCATATGAAAAAAGGCGTGTTAAGTCGATAGTCGAAAGTCTCGAAGTACTGTTGTCGCTTTTCTGAGATGCTGATTGACTGTCTCGCTTGTGCGATACGACATGCTTCAGTCGTGTTATTCGCAGCTGTCAAACTATGCGAATTTCTAGCGAGAGCAAATGACGCGCGCGAAGCGCGCGCTTTTGTTGTCTCTGTCTGATATAAAAAAAGGCGTGTTAAGTCGATAGTCGAAAGTCTCGAAGTATTGTTGTCGCTTTTCCGAGATACTGATTAGCTGTCTCGCTTGTGCGATACAACATGCTTTAAGTCTGGCTGCACAGTTCAGCTATGAAGAACAGATTCAATGTTACGGTAAAAAAAAAACTCTGCCATATTAGATCCCCATTCCACTAGCATGACGTTTTCTTGACGCCAATAGTCAAATTTTGTAACCAAAAATCATCATATTGACTTTTTCTGCCGTGATGTAATTATGACGTCAAAATGATGACACATTGGGTTTGTTTTCTGTTCCTGCACTGGTGAACTAGTGCAGTAAGCTAGAATGAGAAAAAATATGCTTGTCTTACTCCAATTTATTGCACTAGTTCACTAGTGTAGGAACAGAAAACAAGCCTATTGACTACGTGTTCGTAGGACCTATCAACCTTGCCTTACACAAAAATTTTCTTCTTTTTCACATCCTTTCTAACAATGTACCGCGATATAGGTGGTTCCGTTAAAAAATTTTAAGTTCACGCTCCCCTGGAATCCCATGGTTGGCGCAATCCTTCCAATCTTCTCAAAACAGTAGCCCCCTCGAAATGATCAAATACGTATTTCGACGTTATGCGTTTTTCGAAATTTTAAACCATTTCCAAAATATTGGGGGTGTTGCCGTATATAATAGGGCATAATGAGTAAGGAAAATGAATAGTAAACGACTCCAATGTGATAAACAAAATATGAAAATTAGGGATTAATAGCGAACCAAGCGCAGAAAATAAGGCGTAAAAATTGATCTTTTTAAAAATCATATATTTAGATAAAAATTAATTTCACAATAGAGACAACATTTTAAATACATTAATGTTTTTTTACAAGATCAATCTCTGCGCTTTATTATCCGCACTTAGTTCGTATTAGTTTTTCATTTTTATATTTTATTTATAATGAATAATTAGATCTGTTCGCGTCGCAGGTCCCACATGTTTCTGTTTGCCCCAACAAACAACGCCATCATTTTGTTGTATAGTACGATTTAAGTCACGGTATCGATCGTTGGGACACACAGGAGCACGTTGCGGCATGAGGCGCACACAGACCTATTGTCGATCATCATAAATTTAGAATATAACAATTATATCAACCTCGATGACATTTTCGTTGGACACGCCAGTGCATTAAATGGTCTCTTTCAACAACGAAGATTTATCCTAGTCTGTTCTCGTCAAAAATGTTTCAAGCTCACCTGCAAATAGAATACAAAGAAAACTTTTAACATATTTGTGCATATTTATTTTCGAGAGGCGAAAGGAGAGGGAGAGAACGATGTAGGGAGGGGGGAGAGAGTGAGAGAGAGCTTAATAACAGTTATATTGATCACTATTTATCTACTATTTTATATGACTTGTACAATCTTTAATTAATTTTCTTGTATCGTTTTTGCGCTGATAATGGCGCAAAAAAGGGGTCGAAACGTATTCTTTAAATTATAATTTGTTTATTCTTGTAATATTACCCACACAGCACAGAAAGATTGCAGGAAGATTGCAGAAATGTTACATTGCAAGATTGCAATATTGCAGCAACGTTGCGCAACATTGCTGCAACGTTTCTGGAGGATTGCAGCAACGTTGAAATGTCTGCCCTCAGAATGATTGCAGTGCAACATTATAGCAATGTTGCAGTGCAATATTTTTGGAATAATTTGTTGTTGTGCAGAAGCAGAGAATTGACTAATTACATCCGGGCCTTTTTCAATATATAGCAAGCTATTGCGAAGCAACCTAAAGCCCGTATCAGACTACGGATTGAGATTGGGATTAGATTGAAATTTGACCAATCGCAGTAAAGATTACTAATCTCAAGTTTAGTAACCTTTACTCTAATTGGTCAAATTTCAATCTAATCTCAATCTC